AGGAAAAGAAGGCTTTGGAGACAAAAGTGGGGGACCAAGCAGTGGCAAGGAGGGTGCCCTTTCCCTGCGCAGTGGGACCTTCACCCCTGGACAAAGCTGTCCTGGGGCTCCAGCTCCTCACTCCTCTCTGTGGGGAGAGGGGAGGGCAGGCACAGGCTGGGAGCAGAGCTAAGGATGTTCACGGGGTGCATGGCATGTTGCAAAGGAAAGGAGAGGCATGGTCCCTGCCAGGAGGAGAGCCCATGGTTTTTCCTTCCATTCACACCCCACTTTAGGTATCCACATCCATTCCCAGGATGATGGATCCTTCCTTGCCCTAAATTTAGACAGTTTCTGTCCTCCAGCCACCTACATTGGGGAACCAACCTTGCCCCCCTTGCCACTCTCCAAATCTAAAAGGGGGCAGCTGAGATCAGGGCACGATCCCACCCCCCCATCCATCCCTGTCAAGCTCCCCAGCTCCTGAGCCCCACACTGCCAGAGCTGGGGAGGTCTGCCCGGCGTGGCCCAGCCCCTAATGGTAATGGTTGTTCACGTTGTTGAGGTGGGAGGCTGCCATGGCGCTGAATGGGGCAGAGGGCTGGAGACCATGCCCAGGGTAGAGGGACGGGCTGGAGCCAGGCCAGTAGGAGAAGCCGGCTGGTGTAACACCCGAGGTCATCAGGTTGAGTTTGGAGATGCCTGAGAAGGGCAGCGGGGCCAGGTTGCCCTGGAATTTGTAGAGGGTGTGATCAGGGGCAGCTGGCTGGCACACCTGAGCCAGCCCATGGAAGTCGAACTTGTAGGCGTAGCGCTTGCCATGGACCTTGGTCATGATGTTCTTGTCGTAGTAGTAGCGCAGCGCCCGGCTCAGCTTGTCGTAATTCATGTTGGGTTTGCTCTTCCGCTCGCCCCAGCGCCGTGCCACCTCGTCAGGGTCAATCAGCTTGAACTCCCCATTCGTGCCTTCCCAGGCGATGCAGTTCAGGTTGGCCCGGTCCGAGAGCAGCTCCAGCAGGAACTGCCACAGCTGGATCTGCCCGCTGCCTGCAAGGCCAGCCCCAGAGAGGTTAAAGCTCCCTCTCAGGGCACAAGGAACCGGGCAGGATGTGTCCCGGTCTCCTCGACCTCCCGCTATGTTGCCCCCTCCTGGACCCAGGTTTTAGATGCACCTCAGTGCATCTTCCCTGCTCTGGAGACACAGAAGGTGGTAACAAGGTTGTATCTCCCTTGCAGCATCCCTACCCCACACTGTGCCCCAAGCAAGAGGAGGAGAGGATGCCCTTGCACCTCAGAACAGGGTTAGGAGTGCTCAGAGGTCAACACAGGCCACAGTGGGTCTGGATCCCAGCTCCCCACGTCCCTCCCACCCTCATTCACAACCCACTGAAGATGAATACCTGCTCATTTGCTTTGGTGTGAGGATCCGGTCTGGTTCTTTGATCTGCAGCCCCAAGAGGGACGTATCTTGGCACTACCCAGATCCACCCCAGCACCCACAGACCCTGCTGCCACCTCTGCTTGAAACTGGGCTGGTGTCACAGCACAGGCCCTGCCCATCTCTAGGTGCACTGTGTCCTGCAAGGGTGTACCCACAGGGAGCTGCAGTCAGGGTGCAATGCTGCTTTGACCTGCACCCCTGCCAGGTGCAGGAAGGTATAGGGGAAGGAGAGAACAGGACCGGGCAGGATCTGCTGTAGCTTTGAATCGGGTACCAACGTTCCTTGTTTCTGGAGGAAAACTGTCCTCTCTGAGCCGTGGCCATTGCACCTTCAGCTTGGACTGAGAAGCACCCTTGGTGGGAGCCCAAGATGCTCCTGTGCCAGGCTGTGCACACACAGGAGCCTGGCACACCTGGACATGCCCATGGTGAGTCACAAGGACAGGGTCCACTGAGTCTGGCCACAGGTCATGAGAGGAGAGGGTCCCTGGACCTTGAGGTGATGAGCAGTCCCACTTCTGGGACCCAGCCACCCTGCAGAGCAGCCCTGCGCTTACCGAGACCCCCCTACCCCCTCCCTCTCCCTGCCCAGCAGCACCCCCTACACATCCCTGCCCTGGCCCTGGCCCTTGCAGCACAGGCTCTTCCCATGGCAAAGGAAGAGTCTTTGCATTTCATCCTCCTCCCTGTGCTTTTCTGCCACTATTTTGTCTAAAGGTGCTTGCATCCCATGTAGAGGTTTAGCACCACAGCCCCTGCAGCAGGCAGTCCCACAGCCCAGCCTTGTTTCCCACAAAGAACCACTTTGTCCTAATTTTTTCACACCCACCTATTTTAGCTGGTGCTCCCAGTTCTTGCTGTGAAAGAAGAAGGGAGCAGTCGTTCCCCATCCATCCCCATGCCACCAAACCCCACTCACACATCCCGATCCAGGCAGACCAGCCCAGGTCTTTCCAAGTTATCGTAAATTCAGATCCCCCATCCTGGGAAAAAGATGGGGGATCTCTCCTCTCTAGGGTGCATCCACAGCCCTCACCTCTTCTCCATCCCTGCAGCCCTACCCTGGACTCCTGCTGCCCCCCACCCATGGGCTGCCCCACCCCATGCAAAGAGGGCAGGGAGGTGTTGGGGGGTGCAGCCGGGCGCGGTGGAGAGGTTTGATCCTGCCTGCTGCAGGGTGCTGTGCTGTAGCACACGGCAGGTCCCTGCAGGA